TTTCCTTTCCAGATGTCTTTAGGCCAGTCATGTGATGCTGTGAGGCCCTATTACTGATCCACATCCATCAGCGGGTGGTCCTCAGTAATGCAGAGAGCGGTGCTGCTGAGACAACATTGGCACCACTCACTGCATCATTGCACAGTGAATGCAGGATGCTGGAGTGAAGCACCCTTAGAGGGTGGGTCCATGATACCCTACACACAACATGCCCTAAGGCACGGGTGTCAAACTGGCAGACCTCCAGCTGTTGCCAAACTACAAGTCCCATGAGGCATTGCAAGATTGACAGTTACAAGCAGGGGCGGACTGACAACGCATGGGGCCCCCGGGCAATAGGGGATCATGGGGCCCCTGTGTCCTTGCCCAAACTCAAAAAAGCCTATGAAAAAGGTACCAGGGGCATCTCATGGGGCCCCCCCTACTGATCCCGGGCCCTCGGGCAGTGCCCGAGTTTCCAAATGGTCAGTCCGCCCCTGGTTACAAGCATGATTATGAAAGCCAGAGAGGCATGATGAGACTTGTAGTTTTGCAACAGCTGGATGGCTGCCAATTTACCACCCCTGCCCTAAGGCATTATTGATAACAGCATGTAAAATCTGGCAGGTTGCATCAAGTTCATTGATCAATCAACTTGGGTACATTCAGCTTACCCAAACGTGGTTTGAATGTCGGCCAATCCCTCCTTTCATGCCATTTATTGCTTACAACTGTGCTGAGAACTGTGATTGGTCACAGTGATCACATGTACAGACTGGGCCAATCACAGCCCATCTGCAGCATGTGATCAGCTATGGCCAATCACAGCTGATCAAAACAAAAACTACTGAATGGATCAGTATCATTCAGTAAAAATGCTTGCTTATACCAATGAAATTCATTCATCGAAGAAATCATACTGTGTAAAAAACGTAAAAACAAAAAAAAATCCTGATCACTTGCCCAGAGTAGTACAATATTACTATGTTAACATTGTTTTTCTCTGGTCACAGGAGTAGAAAATAAATCATGTAATATAAAATGAATGTAATAAAAAATGTAAAAGACAAAAAAAAAAGATTATTTTTTTGTTTATTTTACATACTGACACCAGTCAGTGTCCCTGATCACAGCCACACCGATTATATGATGACGCTGTGCTGCATTGGGGACAGTATGTAACAAAAAATAAAAATTGTAAAAATTGTGAATTTTTATTTCATTTCTTCATTTTCCACAAAATTTATGACAAAAAAATGACGACTTAAAAAAAGTTGCCATTCCTCCTACTAAATACACCAGACTGTCTACTTTCTGATAAGTGGTCATTTTGGGGATATTTGTACTGTTCTGGTGTTTTTGGGCCTCAAGAAATGAGTTCATCAGTCAGTACAACAGGATTTATACATTTTTAGATATATACCATAGTTTGTGGACTCCATAACTTTCCTACCAACTAAATTAAAAAAAACACTGATTTGGGTTATTTTCACCAAAGAAATGTAGCAGAATATATGTTGGCCTAAATTTGTGTGTAGAAAGATCATTTATTTGCAAAATATTATAACAGAAACAAAGAAAAAAATGCATTTTTTTTAAACTTGTGGTCTTTTTTTGTTTATAGCGCATAAAATAAAAAACCCCAGTGGTGATTAAACACAACCAAAAGAAATCTCTATTTATTTGCAAAAAATATGAAAAATTCATATGGATACAGTGTTGCATGACCACACAATTGTCATTTAAAGTGCAACAGAGCTGAAAGGTGAAAATTGGCCTGGGCAGGAAGGGGGTAAAAGTGCCCGGTAGGCAACTGGTTAAAGTGGTTGTAATGGTTCAAAGTTTTTTCCCTTCATACATTCTTGGATGAAGGTAAAAAAAAACCTTCTGTGTGCAGCAGCCCCCCTAATACTTTCCTGAGCCTCATCGCAATCCAGCAGTGTGCAAGAAAGCCTTGGTGCTAAATGGTCTCTGCCTCCCAATTGGCTGAGACAATGGCTCCCACTGCTGTCAATCACAAGCAATGATCCAATGAGGAAAGAGAGGGGGCAGGGCCAATCCACGGCTTTGTGTGTGAATAGAGCAAGCTGCTTGTTGTGGGGGCACTTGGCAGGAGGGAGGGGTCAGGACTTCCAGCGGGGAACCTGAGAAGAGGAGTTCAAGGCTGCTCTGTGCAAAACCACTGCACAGAGCAGGTAAGTATGACGTTTCTTTTTTTTTTTTTTATAATATTGCCTTTAATTTCACTTTAAAGTGAACAAAAATGTTATATATTCCAGCTTCTTAGATGTAGGGACTACATAAGTTTTTTTTTTTAATTTGAGACTTTTTTATCCTATTATTTTCAGCTGGTTATCTTGCCAGTAATGTACCTTGTCATAGGATGACAACTCTTACTTACTGTATGTGGTTGAATTACTAAAGGCCAATAGACTGTGCACTCTGCAAAGTTTGAGTTTGGGCAAGGACACAGGGGCCCCATGATCCCCTATTGCCCGGGGGCCCCATGAGTTGTCAGTCCGCCCCTGCTTCAGAACTTAGTAAATGGGGTAACCAGGGGCGGACTGACCATTTGGAAACTCGGGCACTGCCCGAGGACCCGGGGTCAGTAGGGGGCCGCATGAGATGCCCCTGGTACCTTTTTCATAGGCTTTTTTGAGTTTGGGCAAGGACACAGGCGCCCCATGATCCCCTCTTGCCCGGGGGCCCCCGAGTTGTCAGTCTGCCCCTGGGGGTAATGCTTCACTTTACAAAGAATGCCCAATCATGTGTAAAGAAAATTTAAAAAAAACATAATTTTTGCTTGCACATTATTGGATGATGGAAGTCAGTAGAGCTTCCCCTCATTTACTAAGCTCTGGAGCAACTGCAGTTGCAAAGTGCACATTTACCTTTAGTAAATCAATCTCTATGTGTAACTATGGAGCAGCAGCAGTTTTTGTTTTCCCAAAGATGGGAAGTGGGATTAGACTAGAGAAAAGCCCACAATCTCCTCATCTCCAAAACATAGAGACAGAGGAGGTGTACTGTAATCCACAAAACAAATGGGTAGGGATGATAACAATGTTTGAGATTTCAGTGAAGCATCATCAACTAGCTACAGGAAGTTAGGAGCTCCCTGGATTTCAGGCAGGATCCTTTGGTCAAACAGATTAAAAGAAATGTTTAATAGTATATTTAACAGACCAAAAGGGATCAATTAAGAGAAGCTCAATGTTAGGGTTTACATAGAATTGTATTCAATTTTATTATTGTGCTTTGATAAAATAGGTTTCGTACTAAAACTACAGATTTGTAAATGATTGTTGAATTTAGCTATCTGTATTTACAACACTAAGACAAACGTTTTCTATTGTGCGTAGTCAAATGTGATTTGCCATTTTCTAAATAATAACATTAAAAGCACCAATAATATAATAATACAATGACCTTATACAGTATTTTAGATCGAATGTCAACAATTATCTCTGTAAGAAAAATCCTCTGTTGTATTAGGAGATGTATAGACTCCAGAGAGAGAGATATCACCCCCCCCTTATACAAATCATTAGTAAAACCTCATCTGGAATATGCAGTACAGTTTTGTCTCCAATTCACAAAAAGAACATTGGGGAACTGGAGAAAGTACAGAGAAGGGCAACCAAACTGATACGAGGCATGGAGGAGATCAGCTATGAGGAAAGATTAGAGGAACTGAATGTATTCTCTACTGAGAAGAGGAGATTAAGGGGGGATATGATCTCCATGTATAATACATAAGGGGGGATATGATCACCATGTATAATACATAAGGGGAGGATATGATCTCCATATATAATACATAAGGGGGATATGATCTCCATGTATAATACATAAGGGGAGGATATGATCTCCATATATAATACATAAGGGAGGATATGATCTCCATGTATAATACATAAGGGGGGATATGATCTCCATGTATAATACATAAGGGGGGATATGATCTCCATGTATAATACATAAGGGGGATATGACCTCCATGTATAATACATAAGGGGGGATATGATCTCCATGTATAATACATAAGGGGGGATATGATCTCCATGTATAATACATAAGGGGGGATATGATCTCCATGTATAATACATAAGGGGGGATATGATCTCCATGTATAATACATAAGGGGGGATATGATCTCCATGTATAATACATAAGGGGGGATATGATCTCCATGTATAATACATAAGGGGGGATATGATCTCCATGTATAATACATAAGGGGGATATGATCTCCATGTATAATACATAAGGGGGGGGGATATGATCTGCATGTATAATACATAAGGGGGGATATGATCTCCATGTATAATACATAAGGGGGATATGATCTGCATGTATAATACATAAGGGGGGATATGATCTCCATGTATAATACATAAGGGGGGATATGATCTCCATGTATAATACATAAGGGGGGATATGATCTCCATGTATAATACATAAGGGGGGATATGACCTCCATGTATAATACATAAGGGGGGATATGATCTCCATGTATAAATACATCAGTGGTTCATATAGTGAACTTGGTGTAGAGTTATTCCCCCTGAGGTCATCACAGAGGACAAGGGGGTGCTCTTTATGTCTGGAGGAAAATACATTTAGTCTCCAAACACAGAAAAGTTTCTTCACAGTAAGAGCTGTGAGAATGTGGAATAGACTCCCTCAAGAGTTGGTTGTGGCCAGCTCAGTGGATTGCTGTAGGAAAGTCCTGGATTTTTTCTTGGATACACAGAATATAACTGGATATAACATTTATAGGTAAAGTTGATCCAGGGAATATCTGATTGCCTCTTGGGGATCAAAAAGGAATTGTTTTTTCCCTGCAGAAGCACATAGGATCATGCTTTGCTGGGTTTTTTACCTTCCTCTGGATCAACTGTGGGTGTAGGATTATAACTTTTTTTTATTTTTTTCATGGTTAAACTGGACATACTTTTGTCTTTTTTCAGCCAGACTAACTATGTAACTAAGTATCTACTGTTTCTTTTCTTTTTAATTTATAAATAATAAAACTTCACAAAATGACTAATTATCTTGTCAGAGGCCACTTTTATATCTTTATTCCTCAGACTATAAATGATTGGATTTATCAATGGTGTCCCCACAGTGTACAGAATGGATATTACTTTGCTTATATCTGAAGATGATCCACTAGTTGGAAGACCATACATGCTGATCAGACTTGTATAAAATATACAGACGATGGTCAGGTGGGAACTGCAGGTAGAGAAGGCTTTCTTCTTCCCGTCAGTAGATGGAATTTTCATGATGGTGATAATGACATACATATATGAACACATGATAAAGATAAAAGGTAAAAAAAGAACAGGGATGCCAAGAAACACCCTTGTGTTTTCAACCTCGGAGGTATCTGAGCAGGAAAGTTTTAATAGTGGTGCAGCATCACAGAAGAAATGGTCAATAAGATTTGGGCCACAGAAGTCCAGACTTGTAGTTGCGATGGTGCTCATCAACATCACAAAAAAGCTCAAAAGCCAAGACATGCCTGCAAGTTTTTTTTGCATAATGTGTGGTTCATTATAGACCTATAATAGAGGGGTTTACAGATGGCCAAATACCGATCGTAAGACATTATTGTCAAGATGAAACACTCCGCAGATTCAGAAAATATAAAAAAATTTAACTGAAAAATGCAACTTCCGAATGAAATTGTTCCGTTTTCATTAAGCACAACATGAAGTAAATTGGGTACGATGTCCGTGGTCAGCATGATGTCAGACATGGAAAGTTGGGTGAGGAAGATGTACATAGGAGATTGGAGGGTCTTGCTGTAGGACACCAATAAAATGATTAGTAGGTTTCCACATACTGTCACACAGTAGATCACAAGTAAGAGAAAAAAGAGGAAGAATCTGATGTTATTGAAAATTTCAAATCCCAAGAGGATGACATCGCTGATAGCAGTATGATTGCTTCTGTTTTGTTGCCTTCATAGATAAAAGAAAGATTAAAGCATAATTCTGCGTACTTCTTTAGGATGTATTTATTTACTTTAAAGATAGAGTACAATACAAAATAACAGTCTAGGTGGGAAAAATAACAAGATAGAAATAATGTCGCGCTCCTGTGATTATTAATTATATATTACCCATATAAATCAGAATCTTTAAATAAAGAAAATATATATAAATGTGATTAACCTCACTAGCGGTCTGATTATGTTCATATTTCTGTGCTCAAAGCGGTATCATTATTTTGCAAGGAAATATGTATTTTTTTTATTGTAGGCTGTAATTTTTAGGAATAACTCACTGAAATCTGTCCGAACAAGAGTCTAGTAAACATCCCGGGTAGGATAAAATTTTAAACATGAAATCATAAATTATAATTTAATAAATAATCATAAAAAATAATAATAATAAATTTAATTCAATAATGTAATCAAACCAAAAACACTGAAATGTGAAATAGAGCGCCAAGTTCGCACATCGCTGAGCTCAGTCGCAGAATCGTTTTCAGTGTCTGATGAGGAATTTTCCCCACGAATCATTATCACTCAATTCTGCAAGTGGTTCTGATTTACTATCGCTGTTCTCTAGCCGATCTAAAACCGCTTTTGACCTAAAGGGACGCTTTTTGGACGCCATGGACGTTTCTCAGTTTCCAGGCAGAAAGAACAGTAATAATGCAGGCAGGGCGCCGGACAAAGCACTCGGGACAAAATGTATGTGAAATGGTTTGATACAGGAATGTTATACTATGTGATTTTAGTGGATTTAGTGAATGTCACTTTTTGTAATTTTCTAATTTCCTCAGACACTGAAAATGATTCTGCAGCTGAGCTCAGCGATGTGAGAACTTGGCGCTATATTTCACATTTCAGTGTTTTTGGTTTGATTACATTATTGAATTACATTTATTATATTATTATTTTTTATGATTATTTATTATATTATAATTTATGATTTTGTGTTTCAAATTTTATCCTCCCGGGATGTTTACTAGACTAACAATTCCAGGCCTACAATAAAAAAATACATATTTCCATGCAAAAAAAAGTACCACTTTGAGCAAAGAAATACGGACATAATCAGACCGCTAGGGAGGTTAAAGATTACAAAAAACACTTCTGCAATAAAGGTGATTGGATATCTTAAGCACTGGCAGAGGTTCTACACACAATCGCTGTATTGTTTATAATATGATTATATCATATTTTGTAGGCATATTTTTAAGGCACTAAATATTAACCTCTTGGCGCCGGCCAAATGCAAATTTGTTGCCTCTCGGCAACTGGACCTAGACGCCGAGCGACCGCACATTTGCGTTCTATTAAAAAACACATATGTGCTGAGAGCGCACGCCCTGCATGCTCCCAGCACACATGTCCGGTACTCACGGAAATGTCCCGATCTTCTCTTTCGAACGGGACCTTTCCCGATCATGTGACCGACGTGACAGCGAATCACGGTGGACACATGACCCTAAAACCCCGCCCTGCCTCCCGGCTTCTGGAACCCTTAAAGAGCCGGGAGGCACCGATGCCAAGGGGTTAAATAACCACTTTTGGACCACCTGCCTGCAATGTATTGCAGATGGGCATCCCTTGCAGTCAAAGGGACAACACTGGTACATTGCTGCCTGGCTTAGGGCATGCTTGATCTTACCCCCTCTGACACCCGTTGTGATTGTACACTGCAGGTGTCTGTCAGCAGGTCCCGGTCAATGATTCTTGGCCGAGATCTGCTTATTGGCTGTGTCCAATCACACCCTAGAGCTCTGTGTTGACAATCAACACAGGGCTCTGTACAGATGGAACAATCTCTCTATTTCTTATTCCTGTAAAGCAGGAAAAAGAAACAAACAGATCCGTGAGTAAAAGCTGCACATAATACACATATTACATACCATTAGGCACACATTTAACCCCTTGATCACCCTAGATGTTAACCCCTTCCCAGCCATTGTCATTAGTACAGTGACAGTGTATAGTATTATCACCGATCACTGTATTAGTGTCAGTGGCAGTTAATCAGCTCCATCCCCAACATCAGTTAGTGTCAGATTGCCCTCCGCACTATTGCAGTCCCATTATAAGTCGCTGATCACCGCCATTACTAGTATAAAAAAAAATTCTTGGTATATACAGTACCAAAGTTTGCTGATGCTATAACTTTCATGCAAATCAATCAATACAGACTTATTGGAAAAAAATTTTTTCCAAGACGTAGCAAAATTCATTTTGGCATAAATTTATGAAGATATATGGTTTTTTTTAAATGTCTTTATTGGATATGTTTTATAGCAGAAAGTAGAACATATTGTTTTTTTTCCATTTTTTTTAGTCTGTTTCAATCACACAAAAAAAACCCAGCTGTGATCAAATATCCCCAAAAGAAAGATATATTTGTGTGTAAAAAAATGATATAAATTTAATTTGGGTACAGTGTTGCATGACCACACAATTACCAGTTAAGGCAGCACAGTGCTAAAATATTAAAAAAAATGGCCTGGTCATGAAGGGGGGTGAAGAGGATAAATAAACAAACAAATAAATAAATAGAGGCAGACACAATAAGAGATTTGGTCTTTTTTATCACTCTTCTATGTTTCTATGAATTAGTTGATTTTTAATTTTCTTTGTACCTAAAGTAGGTATAATATGTGAAGCAGGGGCGGACTGACCATTCGAGCACTCGGGCGTTGCCCGAGGGCCTGGGGTCAGTAGGGGGCCCCATGAAATGCCCCTGGTACCTTTTTTATAGGCTTTTTTGAGTGTGGGCAAGGTCACAGGGGCCCCATGATCCCCTATTGGCCAAGGGCCCCATGAGTTGTCAGTCCACTCCTGATGTGAAGATTACTCTGTGAATAGGTGTATACCCTGACAAAAAGGAATGTGACCTTCACAGATTTCAGCGAGTGGAGTGAACAAGTCTGCAGTATATTTTCTATCAAAAAGTGTGTGTTTTTATAGGGAAAAAAATATATAAATACATTTTTTTATTGCTTTTTTAAGAAAACAGATTGCATCACACATTTTTTCTGATTTGTTTTTTTTTTTTTTTTTTATTTTAAGAAATAAAACTCTATTAGGCAAACATAATTTTGAGGACAATATTCAACAACTCCCCTCGCAAAATAAGACAGATTTCAGGAATGTGGGAGCCACACATCAAAATACCTCCTAAAGCTTGTCATATAGGAATAATAAATAAATCTATTAAAAAGGTAAAAAGTAAGTAGCTGTTAAAATAAGAAACATTCATTGCATGGCTGTATTTTATTGAACATTTACTAGTATTTATAATCAATAGATGGTAATTCTATGGTCAGATGGGGACTTTGTTTACCCAGCAGCTCTGAAGAGAAAACATGTTATTAATTGTTTATTTCTGAAATTTCTTTAGGGTCCCAGGACTGATATTAATTCAAAGGAAAATGTTATATAGCTTACATTTGTTTTCTTATTCTTTGCTGCTTCTTCTTCTCTGTCCTGTTTTCTGGTGTCCTAAAAGTTGACCTGCAATGAACGACTACAGGCTCCTGAACATGATCCAGACACGGACATAATTATGCATGTCTTTGTTAGCAAACATTTATACACATTGGGAGTCCCTAGGAGACAAATCACGAAGGTCAAGAGACTGAACACATTTTCCGTTAATGAAACATTAATCACTGCATGTGTGTCCCTGGGGTGGTGTATCTAAAAAAAGCCTAGCATCAAATATATGTTTCTTAAGAACATGCATGCTAAATAATATCAGTAATGTACTGTATATGGGGCTTTAATAATTCCAAAAAGATTGCAATACACCTTATTTGCTCAGGTATCTTCATTTAATTTTGGCACATAATCCAATGGAGCCATAGCGCTTCCCCCATGATGTCATTGTGCATATTGTCCAGGGATTTAGATGGCATTGTCATGTGTTATTACGCCATCACATCGTCAGGGCAAGCCTGCATTGGATACAGCGTGTGGTGACATCAGAGGTGGATCTCAGTGCCAATGGAGGGGTGGTGGTCTTTGGTGGAGATTTAAGGGAAGGGTTTACCTTTCCCTAGCCTGTCTTGGTTTCCTGCGCATTGTATGTAAAGAAGGTTGTGGTCAGGTGCCCAGTAGGTGTTCTGATTCTTGGATCAAGTGGGATGGGAAATTGTTGGCTCTGTGGGTGAAATAATTAAAGAGCTTTGCCTTAGACCACATTGGTGACTCAGAGGTACAGGTTTCAGAATCTTAGGATATGTGTAAGTTGCTCAAGGGAGTCACTGGGGCACAATGAGGAGGGTCAAAATAAAACTTGACTATGGGCACCCCATATGCATGCCTTTTCCACAGATGCTGGGGCAGAAGAAAAAAATGTCCCTAATTCACCCCCATGCCAAACATCTTAATGCCAGATTGAC